ACCCAAATGACATCACCAAGAACTAGTAATGCCCGTACCGAGTGTGGAAAGCTGTCCTAGGGACATCGGATGCCCTAATCCTCAACTGATGGTAGCCAGATCTCAAATCAATCTTCGAAAATACCTTGGCACCCTGAAGCTGATCAAATAAATCTTCAATCCTCGGCAATTGATACTTATTCTTGATTGTAACCTTGTTCAATTACTGGTAATCAATACACATTCTCATCGATCCGTCCTTCTTCTTAACAAACAACACCGGCGCACCTCAAGGCAAAACACTCGGCCTAATGAAACCCTTCTCAAGCAAGTCTTGCAATTTCTCCTTCAATTCTTTGAACTCAGGCGGGGCCATACTATACGGCGGAATAGAAATAGGCTGAGTGCTCGGAGCCAAATCAATGCAAAAATCAATATCCCTGTCGGGCGGCATACCCGGCAGGTCTGAAGGGAATACCTCAGGAAACTCGCAAACAACGGGCACAAAATCAATAGAAGGAACCTCAGCACTAGAATCACGAACATATGCCAAATAGGCCAAACACCCCTTCTCGATCATACGCCTAGCCTTTATATACGAGATAACATTACGGGTAGAATGACAAGGAGTCCCTCTCCACTCTAAACGAGGTAAACCCAGCAAGGCTAAGGTCACAGTCTTGGCATGACAATCCAAGATAGCGTGGTAAGGTGATAACTAGTCCATCCCTAAGATGACATCAAAATCGACCATGTCCAAAAGAAGCAAATCTACACGAGTCTCAAGACCTCCAATCACAACTATACATGAATGATGGGCTCAATCTACCACAATAGAATCACCCACCGGCGTAGACACATAAACATGATCACTCAAAGAATCACTAGGCATGACCAGATATGGTGCAAAATAAGAGGACACATACGAGTACGTAGACCCTGGATCAAATAACACTGAAGCATCTCTATGACAAACAAGAACCGTACCTGTAATAACTGCATCGGAAGCCTCAGCCTCGGGCATGACTGGAAGAGCATAACATCGGGGCTGGGCCCCACCACCTTGAACTATGTCTCTGGGATGTTCCGCTGCTGGCTGGACTCCAACTCTAGCGGTTTGAGCTCCACCTCTAGCACCTCTACCTCCACCTCTAGCACCTCTTCCTCCACCTCTAGCTAACTGAGCGAGTTGGACGAGTCCCTCAATGAACCTCCTCACTCTCTCTCACAGTGGAAAGTATGATAAGAGCATGACGAGCCAAGTCGATGAATCTAATCTCGTACTGAGTAACAATCATAGAACCCTGCTGGAGATGCTCAAACTACCTCTGATAGGCCTCTCTCTGAGTGATGGGGAGAAACTTCTCTAGAAATAGCTGCGTGAATTGTTCTCAAGTCAAAGTTGATGACCTAACTGGTATAGCCAATCAATAATCTCTCCAACAGGTCTTGGCGGATCCATACAAGTGAAAAATAGCAAAATTGACCCCATTGGTCTCCACGATCCCCATATTCTTGAGAACCTCATGACAGCTGTCTAGATAATGTCGGGGATCCTCAGAAGATGCATCGCTGAAAGTAGTAGTGAAGAGCTTGGTGAAACCTATCCAACCTCCACAAAGCCTCCGAAGACGTAGCTGATCTATCACCGGTCTGTGCTGCTGCTCGGCTGAAGAAGCAGTACATGACCTCACCATTCGTGAAAGGACAAGAGTAGAGGTTTCAATTCAGCATTGAGAGAACAAAATCGCACGACAGGGAAGAATAGAAGTGAAACTTTTCCTAACTTTATAGCCTTTGGGGGATAAATACAGATATCTCCGTACCAATCCCTCAGACTCTACTAAGTTGTCTGTGAACTGTGAGACCCATAAAAACCTAGAACTCTGATACCAACTTGTCACGACTCGGATTTTCTACCCTCGGGAGTCGTGATGGTGTCTATTAATACGAGCTAGGCAAGCCAATTATTAGCACAACTTACCTTTTTACCTATTTTATATTCATTAACAATTTCGAAGTAATAACATTTAAATACCGGAAGTTAACATAAGCGGAAGAAAAAAACAACAAACTATCTAAACATAAATATCTAGTACAACTGTTTGAGTCTCGACTACCCAAAACTGGTGTCATAGTTTCACAGACGGTCTAAGAATACTACAAATAAAGGGTCTGAAGAAATAAATACAACACTGTCTCTAGAAATGCATGAAAGAAATAGAAATAGTAGATAGAAGGAGACGCCAAGGCCTGCGGACGTTTGCAGGACTACCTTGTGTCGCCTGATGATTAAGAATCAGCAATCTCGCTGCGGTCTGAAGTCCACAACACTGGGGTCTGCACAAAATAGTGTAGAATGTAGTATCAGCATAACCGACCTCATGTGTTGGTAAGTGCCTAGCCTAACCTTGGCGAAGTAGTGACGAAGCTAGGACCAGACCACGAAATAAACTTGTGCAGTTATATAATAAACAATGGAAAGTAAAGCAGGAATAAACAAGTAAAGATGGGAAGGGGAAACATGTTTCGGGGAATAACAGGTAAAAATATAATATCAAGAGAACTATAAAGNTGGTAGGCGTACCACCCGCTCCCATTTCATTATATCTCGTGGTAGGCGTACCACCCGCTCCCATGTACAAGCCAACAATAATCACAAGAAATCCCGGCAAGGGCACAATAATATAAACAAACATCCCGGTAAGGAAACAAAGATATTTCAACAATATCCCGGCAAGGGAGAAGCAACTATAACCAAACTTGTTACAACATCTTATTACCTCAGCTATAACCAAACTTGTTACAACACCTAACTACCTCAGCTATAACTAACCTTGTTACAACACCTAACTACCCAGCTATAACCAAACTTGTTACAACACCTAACTACCTCAGCTATAAATAAACTCGTTACAACACGTAACACAAAGAATCATTAACCTAAGCATCCGTAATATCAATTAAGAACACAATACAAGGGAACCTCAACTCAACAATAGCTCGGCAAGGGGGCAACATAATGATCTCTTCTCTTTCTCACTTTTACTTCACAACTCAAACCAATGCTCTAGAGTTTCAATTATCACTTATACTTTCACAATTTGTTATACAACTAGAGCCAACACTCCTCAATGTTCATAGGTCACAATTCTTTTCACAATATTACACAACAAATAAAAATCTTCACCAAGGCATGAATAATACAGCGAAGTCATGAAAATCACAATATAAGACTCACGGTCATACTTGACACCAACGTATAGATACTCATCACCATGCCTATACGTCGTACTCAACAAGAAGCAAATAGCAAATAGGACACAACTCCTAATCCCTCAAGCTAAGGTTAGACCAAACACTTACCTCGATACCACGAACACAATTCACAATTCAATTATAGCTTTACCCCTCGATTCCACCACCAATTCGTTCGTATCTAGTCACAAGTTACTTAATTACATCAATAAGCGCTAAATGAATCAATTTGAATGCATGAAAATGAATTTCCCAAAGTTTTGCCCAAAAAGTCAAAAATCGCCCCGGGCCCACATGGTCAAAACCCGAGGTTCAAACCAAAACACGATTACCCATTCCCCCACGAACCCAAATATATAATTTATTTTGAAACCGAACCTCAAATCGAGGTTCAAATCCCCAATTTTCGAAAAACCTAGGTTCTACCCAAAACACCCAATTTCCCCCATGAAAATCATTGATTTGAAGTTGAAATCATGTTAAAAAATGTTAAGAATTGAAGGAAGTTAGTTAAAAACGACTTACAATTGATTTGGAGAAGGAGAAATCCTTGAAAAATCGCTTAAGTGTGTTTATGTTTTGAGAGAATATGAAAAATGAGTTTATAATCGTCTAAGTATAAAAGTTGCAGGTCTCTGATATGGGAATTGCGAATAGGAGTTCGCGATTGCGAACTCCGATCTCTACTGGCTTGGGAATTGCGAACATATGCTGGGAAATGCGAAGCTTGGGAATTGCGAACATGAGTTTGGGAATTGCGAAGCCTGGGAATTGCGAACATGGGTTTGGGAATTGCGAACATGAGTTTGGGAATTGCGAAGCCTGTAGGCCAGCAATTCCTTAAGTCCAAAATTTCACCCTTTGACCTATCCAAAACTCACCCGAGCCCTTGGAGCTCCAAACCAAATATACACACAACCTCAAAAACATCGTACAGACTTATTAATGTACTCAAATCACCAAAATAACATCATGAACATTGAATTAAATCTCAAGATCAATGAAATTTCTCAAAAAGTTCTTTAAACATCAACTTTGCATTTAAGGTCCGAATCACGTCAAATGGATTCCGTTTCTTACCAAACTTCACCAATTATCATAAATCATATATAAGACCTGTACCGGGCGCCGGAACCAAAATACGTGCTCGATATCAACATGTTCTAATCAAAATTCATTTCCAAACCTTATAAACAATTTCAGAAAATAATTTCTTTCAAAAATTCATTTCTCGGGCTTGGGACCTCAGAATTAGATTCCGGGCATACGCCCAAGTCCCATATTTTCCTACGGACCTTCCGGGACCGTCAAATCACGGGTTCGAGTGACCAAAGTCAAATTAATTCATTTTATAGTCAAAATTTATCATTTTTCACAGATTTTCACATTTAAGCTTTCTGGCTACTCGTCAGGACTGTGCACACAAATTGAGATGATGCTAAAAGAGATTTTTAAAGCCTCAAAACATAGAATTTCATTTTAAAACAAGTGATGGTTACAATCAGACGCCTAGTTTACGGTGGTTCGACCAGTATGGGCTAGATTGGCCATTTTCTAACTTTTAACGTTAGAATACTGGAAACGGATAATCTGTAAATAACATGTACTGGGGGAAAAAGGTTTTGTTTGCCGTTAGTTTTCAAACATTGACCAACAGTAGGATGTATTTTGCTCATTGTATTTAAACTTTAGGATGTTTTGTGATCATATAAATATTTAAAGGATGAAATTTAAGTTTGAGAGAGTATAATTTAGGGATGTTTTGGTCCAAAACTCTTGTCGTTCAAGTCAACACATCGATTTGGTTACGCGATTTTCTTCTTCCTCTTCGTCGTCGCACTGTTTACTTGACTTTACCAGTTTTCCGTTACCCATTTCACACGTTGATTCAGTCCATCATCATGTTTCTCGAATTCTAAAAGCTCCTTTGATTGAACTCAAATCATCTAATGCAGAAATAACTTTTCAGATCTGGTTATCTCTTATCGAAAACCAATTGAATAATGGGCCAAGAAGGTACGATTTTACTTGATGGCCAACTTCACAGAGACAAGAAGCCAAAAAACAGAATATTGGGTCTGATTTTAAGGCCATTTTATTGGTTAGGAAAGTTAAGTGAGGAGTTGCACTGGAGCTTTGTGTCAGCTGTGGTAATTGTGTATGGGATAAATCAGGGAATGAGTTTAGGTTTGAGCAAGATTAGTACACAGTATTATATGAAAGATGAACAGAAGTTACAGCCATCTGAAGCCCAAATTTATTTTGGAATTATTCAATTGCCTTGGATTGTTAAGCCTCTTTGGGGTCTTTTAACTGATACTCTACCTATTTTAGGATACCGAAGGCGACCTTACTTCATGCTTGGTGGTAAGTTCATCATTTGCAAATTGAATTAACGGCTAGTATGATTATTATTATTATTCAATTCATTAGCTGCTGCCTGCTAGCTTTAATGATTTTAGTTATGCTAGCTTTAATGATTTTAGTTATGTTTGTTTTTCTGTTCTTTGTGACATGTTTGTTGAAATTATTCTTAAGTTTTGACCATGCGATCCGTTTTTTTTTTCATTCTCTTTTTCATGTAAGTTGTGAGCACTTGGGTTTGTTTGCTTAGAAAGCTTCTAAATCAATTAACAACCACATTTTAATTTGAATCTGTTTTTCTTAGTTCTGTTTCTTGTTTCAAAATTCAACTATGTTTTTATCCTTTGTAAAGTAATGACAATATGATGACTTTGAAATTTGAACCACCATTAAGCATAAGTTAAGATCAAGCGTGAGGAACAGCTGAAATTCCTAGTGTGCTTGGGGTTTCCTATGGCTGTAAAGCTTTATTTGAGCTCTGAATCGTTTATTAAGCTATTAATCTTTATTACAAAAATGAGTTGACTAATGTTTTTTTTCTTTATTAAATTTCCTCCCTGTGAATACACCAAGGAGCTCCAATCTTGTCCCAAACTGCCATCATTTTGATGATATGAGTTGTTCATACTAGCTGTACAATAGTAACCGTTGGTCTTTAGAAGCTGGCCCATTTCTGGAAACCATGGCAGTAATGAGCCGTCAGTACCTAACAATATGATGTCACTGGGAGATGGAAGAATATTTATGTGTTATTCCAATAGTGACATTGTGACAATTGTTCTTACGTTCATATGGTGATTTTCTCCTTAATTAGAGAAACGTTGGGAGATAGATGCACCAGTGTTTGTTCAAGGAATTCAAAAGGATCAGTAAGATTATTTGCTTACCTGTTCTTTTGTAGTCCAGCTCAAAGGAGGCCCCTAAAATTTTGAATGCTAAAATCATTGCTCTCTCACTGAGGTCAAACTAGCTCTAGTTTTAAGGAACTTGCTCATCGCAGTTGCGCAGTTCAAAAACAACACCACCACCAACAACAAACCTAGTATAATCCGACAAGTGGAGTCTGGGGAGGGTAGTGTGTACGCAGACCTTACCCCTACCTTGGGAAGGTAGAAAGGTTGTTTCCGATAGACTTGCGTAGTTCAAAAAATAAGATTATTTGTCCAAGTCATCTGTTCTCTGGGATGATAAGAAGAGTTTAGAATACCGGGGAAGACCTTTTCTGTTATTAAAAAACAGAAAAGGAAAGCAATAGATATGATAGTGAGGAAAGCATAGGGGAGGAAGGAGGATGGGATTGAAAGAAGATATACTGAATATGTCACTTGCTATGGTTCCTGAGTCCAGAATGAGTTTGCTATTCGCAACCTGACCTAAAATATAAATTCTGTATGTGTAGCTTCTTTACATCATAGATTAATATATATTAAGAAATAGAGAGTTTGGAAGGCTTACTACAGGACATTATTAAGAAAGAAATTGGGTTCACATTTTTCTTACTCCAAGATGCATTTAGAAACATGAATTGGTATTACATTTTAAAACAAAAGGATCACAACATGGATTGCTAAAATTTGCGATACCAATCCGCTACTTGTATCACCTATGGTTAGAAATGAGCCGAACTCGCAAAGACCGGGGGTTAGTGCATCATAGTAACTATGATAAATTTTTGGTGGTCGAAGAATTATAAAGTGACGAAAAGAAAAACGCCACCAGAAAGGGGGAGAAAAGTCAGTGGCTCATGGAGCAAAGGATATCAGTTCTTTTTTGCCAAGAGTTATTCTCCTCTCTTTCTTTTACTCACTTTCTGCTTAATTGATTTGTGAAAATGGGGTTTAGTTGTTCATATTTGGCAATACCTTCACTTAGTTTTTGGTTCTGTATGAGGGTAATGCCACCCTTCCAGTACATTTGCAACTAACAAATTAATATATGCGCAAACACAAAGTGCGGGGATATAAGTTCATATCTGGGTGCTTATATGCTTGTGGGGACGACATAAACGGATTTCATTAGTCGTTACTTTCCACAAAACATGGTCTTGAACACACGAAAATATGCAAAATCTTGTCACGGCCATTTAATATAAGAAAGTCTACCATAGAAAAGAGAGAAATAAAGTTCCAAAATCTTTATTTTCTGTCAAATCAGCTGAGGTGCTAGACTGTCTACCGCAATCGAAAGTGAGTTCTGACAATATTGAATTCTCTAATTGCTGCTTCTATTTCCGCATCTATTTTGCTAGTTTAGAATTTCAGTCACATCATGTGTGAGTAATGAGTTAATTGATACCTTATCTCCAGCAAAATAGGGCCTCCTAACATTCAGTGGAGAATGGGGAAAACTAAATTTTGTGAAGTCTCCAAAGCATGAAGGGAAACACTCAAGTGGCTGATCTAGTTGCTCTATGGCCAAATTATGTAAAGCCAAGTGTGAAGGATGAAATTGATAAGCACAAAGAACCACATCTACTCTTTTTGTCATATATGGGGAATCAAAAGAAAACTATCCTTTGTGCCTTTTCATGTTTTTTTCCAGCTGGTCTTATGAAAACTTTTAACAAATGGAATTTTTTGATGTAGCTTGTTTAACAATCTATTGCATTCATTAGTCTCCAACTTCCAGCTGCCGTGTAATTGACATTGCAAATAAAAAATCATTCTTTTGACTTACCTCCCTTTGTTCTTTAGGTTTCATTGGTGTTGTCGCCATGCTTAGTCTGTCAATCAACCAGAACTTACACCTTGCATTTGCTTTGTTGTGCCTAATGGCTGGCAGTGCGGGAGTGGCAATAGCAGATGTGACTATTGATGCATGTGTGACAGAGAACAGCATAAGCCATCCTTCTCTTGCCAGTGACATGCAAAGCTTGTGTGGTCTGAGCTCTTCAGTGGGGCAACTGATAGGGTTCGGAATCAGTGGTTTTTTGGTTCATCTAATTGGATCCAAGGTTTGTTGATTGAGTTATTTGCTATCTTTCCTTTTTTCTGGATGTATTCTTTCTGCTTTTGGTTGAGGTTTGCGAATTTGATCAAATCATTTTGTCAAGCCTGAGACTCATTACATGAAAATTAGGGTATTACTATCTCAATAAGATTTTCTTACTTCCTGAATTATATCAGTATCTTAAGCTACTTTAGGTTACTTTTAGATCATACTGAACCATCATGCTTCATGATTAGCTGACTGTTTCAATACCAGTCACTGCTTTGATGTCGCTGATATATTTTCTTGTCTACTGATAACTCTGACAGGGAGTGTTTGGAATTTTAAGCATCCCTGCTGGTCTGGTCATTTTGGTAGGAATGATGTCACGTGAAACATATGTACCCAACGTTGCATATAAGCGGGTAAGTCGCCTTCGCCACTTTAGGGATCCTTATTATCTTTTGTATTTGTCTCATATATGTATGTTTCTGAGACAGGTAAGTCAAAAGTTCTCTGATGCTGGTAAAGCTATGTGGATGGCACTGAAATGCCAGAGTGTTTGGAGGCCATGTATATACATGTACATTTCTCTTGCATTGAGTTTTCATATTCACGAGGGAATGTTTTACTGGTATACAGATGCAAAGGATGGCCCGTCTTTTTCAAAGGTATTTGAATTTTATCTCTACAACCTATTGTGGATAACTTTGAAAATGACTCAAGACCTAACTTCTTGCTCATTATTTAAAATTGGTCATTCTTTTCTTTTCGAGTTGGAAAACTATCTTAACACAAGACGTAAACTATCTTAACACAAGACGTCTGAATATAATTGCATGGGTTGTGCAGGAGATGGTAGGGTCCATATCTTCTGTTGGTGCGGTGGGCTCTCTTCTTGGTGTTCTCCTTTACCAGAATGCCTTTAAAAACCATCCTTTCCGTAGCGTACTTTTCTGGACTCAGTTACTGTATGGTGCTTCAGGGCTGGTAGATTTAATATTGGTCTCACGTGTAAACTTAAAATTTGGTATCCCTGATTATGTTGTTGTTGTAAGCGATGCAGCATTCTCTCATATGATCGGGCGTCTCAAATGGATGCCTCTTCTTGTACTCAGTTCAAAGCTTTGCCCTTCAGGCATTGAAGGAACTTTTTTTGCTTTGCTAATGTCAATCGATCATATTGGTATGCTCACAGCATCCTGGGGTGGAGGCCTCTTACTTCATACCTTCAACGTTACAAGGACACAATTCGACAACCTTTGGATAGTGATAGTGATCCGGAGCTGTTTAAGAATCCTTCCAGTTTGTATTCTTTTTCTAATACCAAGCAGTGATCCAAATGCTTCTATTCTTCCAACTGAAATGTTGAAGAGTAAAAAGGGTGACGATATTGTTGAAAATCAGAATATGGAAATGGCTTCTCTTGTTAGCAATGTTGACCAGCATTTAGTGGATACATGAGTGAAAATTACAAACTGGGAAAATGTACTCCAGTTTGAAACTTCATTTTGTCTCCTGTGCTGCTGAATTGGTGTGCAGCATGACAGAAATTATACAAGATGGGATTTACCAGCTTTCTGGTAAAAAGAAGTTGAGCTGACTGACCAAAGTTATTCATCCGGCAAGTCTTACGTTTCATGTATTCCTTCATAATACTTCAGAAAGAGTGACCTTGTGAAATTATATGTACGACGAGTAGTTGTAGTTCTTGGAATCTTGTGCAGCTATTAATTGTGCTATAGTACAGTTGGCTCTGGTCTTGCTGTGATAGAGAGGAGCAAATGGAATAGTACTGTGGCTGGTGGGCTTAAGATTGATCGCTAAGTCTAAAAGAACACGCATTCCGTGGAATCAACCACTGATACTTGCATTAGGGTAGGTTGTCTGCATCACACCCTTTTGGGGTGCGGCCTTTTCCCGACCCTGCGTAAAGGCGGAATACTTTATGCACCGAAATGCCCTTTCTTTTAGACTTAGTGGTCAATCTTAAGGCCACCGATTGACCACTGAGTCTATCTTGTCTAAAAGGGGAAAACTAGAGTCCAGAACCAAAATGTGGTTCATTTGGACTCAAAGAATCAAAATGTGGGGGAAACAAAAACTGGGCACCATAATATATATAACGCCCTAGCATACCGCGTTATACCTTAACAACAATTTGTCCGTTAAGGTATAGCGCCCTAATATAAGGCGCTATATATATTATGTGGGCCCACCAATAGTTCTTCTGCGCTTAACTGATATAACAATAATTCTTCTGACGGAGAGGTGCCTGTATTCCCTCTTCTAGTAAGTAGGAGATTCAACAAGGTATAGCGCCTTAATATAAGGCACTATATATATATATTATGTGGGTCCACCAATAATTCTTCTGAGCTTAACTGGCATAACAATAATTCAACTGAGTATAACGTCCATATTTAAGGCGCTATACCTTAAATAACTATACCTCTCGAACTAGTTTTTGCCTTATTTAAAGAGGTTCAGGATTTTGTAAAAATCAATTCATAAATATTTTCAAGTCTTCTGAAATATTAGTTCGTTAAGTTATTTTGCATTTTGTCATAATGTCTGAAGAGAAAAGAATTAGAGTTTCATTATATTGGGA